CCATCAGGCATTTATACTTGGTGGAAGAACAGAAAACATTAATTTGAAGCATGGAGTGTTAGGTGTATAAATGAACCACTCATTTAATTGCATGCCTTAATCAGTTCCATGAAGCGACAATGGAACATCTCAATTGACAATTTTTCAGTTAAATGCTCTTTTCAATCATTTATAGGACACAACCATACCTCCACTATTAAGTATGCCATTTATATTCCACAGAAGAGTAGGTAATGGCATTGACAAGAAAAGGAATTAACTAGCAATAAATAGGCAGCCATTAAGACACCGTTCTTGAAGCTGATGATGAGTGAGGTGTGCATGTATACATCAAAGTCATAATCTGAAGCCGATAAATCTGTATTAGTAAACAAGAGCCTTTCCATTTTTTGACAATCTAACAACTTACACATGTCATATCCATTAATATGATAGGAACAGTTTACTATCTAGATGCGACTATATATATGTTCTATTTTTCTCAATGTAGATGAACAGACCACAAGCTATTCAAATCAGACTATGCCCAAATTGATGAACTGAGTTGAAAACTTTGGTTCATGGTGTGATACACACACCAATGAATGTATATTGAATTTATGAATGCAAGATATTTAATTAGCTGAACTCAATGACCATGTCCAGGCAAGTATAAATACCTTCATAATGATTTCGGTTGACCGATTGAGACATGGAAGGAGTCAAAATTGCATATGGAAAGCTCTCTGAGAAGTGGTACTGCAATGGGGTTTTCAACAGAAATACGAATGAGATTTAACTGTCATCACTAAATACCATGTAAATCTTGACTGCTTTAAGTCATACTCAACTTTAAATATAAGCATATAGTTGTTGTATCTACCATAGTGATCTCCTAATAAATGACTCATAATCCCAATTATGTCAGCTTGAAGTTGGTTAATCTTGCAATGTGGTCTCTCCTTGGCCTCCTCATCTACCATACTAAAATTGGAATTGCAGAGCATTATCTCATTCAACAATTAACATATATCTAAATTCACTAAATAGAACCCCTTGGACAATCAAGGGTTGTAGATCACTGAAACTTCCTTGCCTTCCAAAGTAGAAGGTCGAAGATTCAAGTCCGCAAAGGGGCATGTGTGTGTGAACCCCCTCAGGTGGGGCCCACTTTAACTGGGTCCCACTCTTGTACTTGAGTTCAAAAGGGGGATGCTTCCAAGAAAGGTCAAACTAACTTCATTATGCCCACCAAACAATTGAAACTGGATATGTGTTATAATCTTAGTTGTAACCTAATTTGATCATCCCCATACCATGCCGTTATCTCAATCCACACATTAAGAAACTAACATTCAAATATGAATCAATTTCATAATCTGAACAACTTTGAATTGAAAGATATAGAAACAGAGTTAAACCATGAAGGATTTAGATCATTAGTTATTAATCACACAGCCACAATTTCGCAACAAATTAATCACATTTAAAAGATGATATAATTGATTGATAGGTGAACTAGATTTAAATGTAATTAAATACATGTAATTAGTACATAATAAAGTTGACATTCACCTCATTGAGATGGTAGGTGTGCCACTTTAAAACACTTTAACATGTATGCTTCTCATTTATTTTGTGTTAGGTATATTAATAAATTGCTCTAGTAAATGCCAAACTTAGCTTCAAGAAGCAAGCATAAATAATGCTTTCTTGTTAAATTTAGGTGGATGCTGTTTTCAACCATTTATTTGTAAGGACAATACCTTTATAACTCGCTGAAGGTCAGCAGAGAGCACAAGAACTGGTAAACGATCAATTTATGCAACTTGAGGTCCTTGGAGTAAAGGATGATCTTGCTGAGCAATCAACCTGCATGGATACAAGTCACTTTCTAAAATTAATGAGTTCTCCATTAATGGTCAGGACCTGTTTGACAAACCCATAAAAGGTTATTTTCTTAAAAAATATTTGAAGTATACAATTTATCCAGGAAGCCTATATATAATTGAAAAAAATCAAAATGTATAAGCTATTAAAGGGGTTTGGATTCAAACAATTATATTGCTAACAAAACTTTACACTGTTTTGAACCGAGAAAGCCGGCAGGATTAATGTACTCAATATTCAGGTGCATGACATACACCTCACACCATCCCTAATGTCCAACCAGAACTTCATTCTTATTGGATAAACAGGAGGAAAAAGAAGAGAAAAGATTAGTTATGAGAGAAAAAAAAAAAGAAAAGAAAATATAGCAATAACCTGTATTCATGTCTGGATAAATTATGAAGGAAGAGAGAGAAAATCATAGCATTCTTGTTTGGAAAAGATAAAAGGAGAGAAAAGAAAAGAAACTATTTCAACTAATTTACTATGATAATCGCAATGTTAAGGTGGGATCCAAATGTCTTTTAAATTGCTTGCATTAAAATGTTAAGGTTATTTTTGTTATTATTGAAGTCACTTAAGTTGCTATTTGTGATGTTGTGGCCCAAATTTGGTGCTGGGTTGCATTGTGACCTGACGACCCTCGAGGAAAAATTTTGACCCATTTTTGCTCATGGGTCGTGACCCTAATTAGTACTCTCTTGTAGCCCGATATATAAGGACATTTGGGGTTTGAAGTGGGTGGTGAGAGAGACACTAAAATTTGTGTAGAATAGAGAGTGAGGGGCTAAAACTTGTAATCTCCAATTTTACACACAGTTAAGATTTTCGCCGGATCTCTACCGTGGACGTATGCTTTGCCGAACAACGTATAAATCTGTGTTCTTTGTGTGGTGTGTTTATTTTCCTATCGTGTTTCGTAATTGTTGCTTGGTTCGCTGCATTTGTCGTAACACTATCCTTTCTCTCCAAATGGATCTTCCCACTTTTGGAAAGATGGCAAAAAATATATTTGGAGGGATAAGCTATCCCTCCAAATCCTTTCTTTTCTCTCCTCATTAAAAAACCAAACATGAAAATCACTATCCCTCCCTTTCTTTTCTCTTCTCTCCTCATTAACAAACCAGGTTCAAAGTTCCTAAGCATATTTCACTAATTAAGCTAGTAAGTTTTAAGGAGTGACAAGTATGTGGCTCAAATGACTAGTCCTCTTGAGCTGCTGTGGCTAATCACACCAAGTTTGTCCTAAACAATAAATGTGTGTTGCAGACAATAGAGATGACTCCACATTACAAAGCTCAGCAGCAATCAGGAAACCATAAAACATGTCCTCTTAGTTGAAAAGAGGTAACTTATGCAACTCCTCAGCATCTTGATGAAGATCTGGGTTGGATACCTGCTGCCTTAAACACTAGAATAGCTAAAGTAATCCCTACCCTAACCACCTGCTAACACATTATAGGTTTTGAGTTTAATTCACCAAACTACCAACTCCAACTAAATTAATTAGGTAAATGATTTAATACCAAGTCAGAAAGTCCTGTAGCCAGATAACATCTGGACATGGCTTAGTGGTACTTTCATGGCTTCATGAGTGACATCAAGTTCGAAGTTGGAAATCAAGACCTCGATAGTACGATTACTCATATTTCAGTTAGCTTTGCCATCTCTACTTTGTCCTCCAATTCAAGCATGCTCATTAATCATTTTATTCACAGCTCATTCTCACCTTATATGTGGATACCATTTTCTATGTGTATGAAAGAGTTACCAACTTACCACCATGCAGAAAGTGCCAAATTTGCAGTAGAAGCAATTAGACAAATATGGGAAACATATTTCCCCAGCCTAAGGCCAAACTTATCTTAATTTGACACAATTTTAAAAAGCTGCCAACTTTCAGATATATGTTATCCAATCAGACTTTCTTAATTTACATAATTTCCTAAATTTTTTACTAAATAAAGAATATTACTATTTCCAAAGTCTAAACAAGGCTGCATCCACAGCTCATTCTCACATTATATGTGGGTTCCATTTTCTATGTCAAAGAAAGGGGTCTGTGGTCGCTATGGCTGTGGAAATAGCATTTTTCTAGATCAATTAGTAAAGCCAATTGTTTGCAATATTGAATTAGAAATTGTTTTCTGCTAATTCAATTCATATTTGACTTTAAAAAAATATATATCAATAGCCATTTATAAAAGGCAGCCAGTGAGTATTCAATTAGAATTTATGAATTTCTGCAAGACTTTCTCAGTATACAGACAGAATATGATCTAGTAATTGTTTTGAATTTATTCATAGGATATTGGTTGAGAAAATAACATTAAACCCTTCTGAGATGGTAGGTGAAGATTGTAAAAGATATAATTCTCATTTATTATTTGTTAGGTGTGTAAATAAAATGCTATAGAAAATGCCATAATTAGCTTAAGGAAGTAACCATAAAACACATCCTTCAATGGTGCTTAGGTTGATAGCTGTTTTCAGACATTTATAGCAGACAACTACATTTCCTTCTATATTTTATATCCCATAAAATGCCCTTAGAGAAGCACAAAAACTAGAGTAGCACGTGATCTAACCATATAATGTGATTATTATGCATCCAGATGGTAAACAATCAAATTGCATGAATACTCGCTGCCTGAAATTTATGTATGGTTCTTAATCAGAGTTCTGTAAGTTCTGTATGAAAAACTTTCAAGTCTTACATTTTAGCCATTGAACTTAATTATCATGAAAGGAATGCTTTATGTATATTTGTTTATAATGCAAAGAGAAATCCAATGTAAGCCTAAATTCTTGCTTGTGTCGACTCATACCTGAACATTGAAGATTACAGTATCCAAATTCAGGTCCAGGTTCAATGAATGCATCTCATGCCATCATTTTGATCAAACCAAAACCAGAGCTTCCATGTCCTTACGCGGCTTATGCCCAAATCAGGTTCAGAATTCATTCGCTATCATGCTACATCATTCAAAGGAAAGCGGAATCTAAGGTCAAAAACATGCCAGAGAACTAAGCGCAAGGCCGTATTCCAAGTTGAAAAAAACAAATTCCTAGGATGTGCTTCCCATTAACCAAACATGCCGCAACAACAAGTACGTAACCATGCATGGGAGTTAAGAGTAATTCAATATTTATAAACAATAAATATCAGTATTAGTTCTACTGGATGTCAACTTACAAACTATCTTCTATTATTCACAAAAATAAAAAATCAAGTAATTTAGCCATAAATAAATCTCCTCAACATCTTATATGGATATGTTAAGATGAATCCGAGGTTTCTTCATAGCAACTGGAGAGGGAACAATCACATTGCATCGAGGGCATTTAGGGTTGCTTTTGGATATCAGCACATAAAGAAGGCAACTGGGGCAGCCTGCTGCAAATGATGAGGATGATTTCTCCTCGTGATCCATTTCGATTTCTCTGATTGATGACGATGAAGAATTCGAAGACAACGATGATGATTTTGACATTGATAATGATCTTTTCTTGATAGTTTCATTCTCTGCTCTCTCAAGTGCTGATTTTACTTTGTCTAGAGTGCATACACTTCTGTAGGTAGATGAAGATGTCAACGATGGAACAAGCTTTAGGTATAAACCACTGTTGTCAAAGAGGTTTAATGGTCGTTTTAGTGATGGAGGAGAGTTTAGATCTTGAAGCTTTGGAACTGTTTCATCGGTTAAACGCTTATGGTCTGATGATGAAGAAGATGTACTTGTGGAGTTGCATTTCTGAAGATATACTTTTCCAGACTGTAATTAAAAATAAAAATAAAAAGACAAAAATTACAATTAGAGAATGCAATTTCAAAATGCAACGGATAGATATATATACATGTATTTCTTTGTGTCCACATAGAGAATGAGTAGGTACAAAATTCTGGTATTAGTTTTATACACCAAAGCATTCATTGTTCCAGAACCAATATAAAATAAATAAATAAATTTGATTTTTGTTCTTGAGAAGAATCAGACAGAGAGAATTCAAAAGGGATAATCCATAATTGTAACAATCTAACAAGAAGATTGTTATCTTCATATGAGATTTTAGTTTTTATCTAAGAATATAATCAAAAGTAGTGCTGTAAAAAATGCATAGGATCAAGCTATTACTTCAATACACGAACTAGTGATCAAATATTTTCCTATTTTATATGAAAAAAACACCCAATTGATTCTTTACCCAAGTAAAAATTATTAGTCTCAAATATATATATGATGAATAAATTTTAAAAAGAAGTAGAAAAGTTTATCAAAAGGAGTAATTTAGAACCTGCTAGTACCAATTGAGAATGAGTTGTTAGATATTACACACATAAGGAGAGAGCTTCAATAACTCAAAGAGGGTTCATTATGATATAGACAACTTTTTAGAGTTTCTCCATAATGTTTTGTTAGAAACAGAGAATCAATTAACGCAATTGAACTACTAATCAATATAAATGCAAATGCAACAAATGAAGATAAAAGAGATTCAATCTATCATTTACACTGTTCCATTACAGAATCCCGTAAAAGGAGGGGGGAAAGCAAACAAAAAGAGAGAACCCTAGTTATATATCGTCTGTTTGGTTGGTAAGAAAATGAAAGCAGAGCAAGCAAAAGAGAATCGCAGGAAAGAGTAATAATACCTTCAAGTCTAGACGCTTTTCCCAGCCAACTGGGACTTGCAAGTCGAGGTCCAATTCCTTGGATTCAAGAGCACAACCACACCCACCCAGCAGGTCTCGCGTGACCAAAACCCTCGATTCCTTCACCTACTCATCCTCCTCCATCGTCCCAACCAGAGAGCTCACACACACACACATATATATATATATGCACAGAGAGAGAGAGAAAGAGATGGAGAGGACTCAAAAATCTTGAGGAACAGAGGGAGTGGAAGAAGGGGGTTCCATGCGTTCGCTATAAATAGAGCGATGTGAATAAATAAATGAATCCGGTATGTGTGATAATTATACTCCGTAGTAGAGAAAATTATATCTAAAATTCTAAATTAATACTATCATAGGTATTGGATTTTTGTATATACGACTATATAAGATTTGTATGTATATAATTATGGATATTTACGAGGGTGGTTTAAATGACAACGAGTGGGACCGGAGAGGAAAGGAATTAAGGAAATGGCGGCATTTAATGCCTGCTCGGTAATACTATTGGACGGCCAGTTCTGCTTTATTACCAAAACGTCCCTATAGGTTTTTAGAAGAGTGAATAATTAATGATAGTTAGTCGATTATACCTAAATAGTAAATACTTGTTGACTGCATACTCACTCATGCCTACTTACATTCAATTATTTTTTTTATTTAGATTCAATATGGAACAAATAATCTTTATTTTACTAATATAGATCGCGGTCATAGATTTATGAATTTGGACAAATATTAGTGTTACACGACATTGGTTAACGCATAATTTTTTTTAAACGTGCACCATAGTAACCATAATGTCCCGATACATAGACTTTTTAAACCATAGATTGATAAATATAAAATTTTCATAAATTTTGGTGATAATGTAGCATAATTAATATTAATGAATTCCGAGTTAGTGTCGATATTAAAAATGCTTAGTAATATATTTGTTTTTGTAAAATTTTAAGTATATTGTGTAAATATATTTAAATAAATAAAATTAGGATCCTTTTTACTTCCAACTTGAAATGAAGCAAATCATCTTATGAACTTTGATTCAAAATTATAAAAATGAATTTTTCTCAAAGTTCTATTTTTTTCATCCTCTTATCCTATTAGAAATTTTAATTTCTTTTCTTTTCTTTCCTCCCCTTCCTTCCCCTCTCTCTCTCTCTCTCTCTCTCTACACGAAAGCATAAATTTTCTTTCTATTGGTTTTTTCTTGTTCTTCCCTTTGTTTCAATTCGTTTTTCCTTGTCCCATCTTCCCGCATGCGAAAAATTTCCCCCCAAAAAAACTGAAGTCCTCCATTCAAGAAAAAAACAACTGATTTTCATGGAGTATTAGTCTGATTCTTAAAAAAAGGGGCGAATCAGCCAGTTTATCGCAAATCAACCGGTTCGCTATTAAATTTTCAATCCCACCGGTATACTGGGGAAACTCGGTATCGGGATCCTTGATTTCCGATACGAATACTCATTACATATTTTTTAATCCCTGCTTTTGTTTTAGTCCAATGAGATAAAACTTAATAAAAAATAATAATAATGGACTCATAAGAACTGATGCTACGTTTGGTATGCATGAATAGAATGGAATGGAATGCACATTCCAACCATTCATTTGTTTGGTATGTAACTTAAAGTGGGAATGACCATTCCATTGGAATGAAAATCCATTTCACAACTAAACCTATGGAATGGCCATTCCATTCCCAAGTAATTTATTTTAAAAAATTGATTTCCCAAAACACCCTCATATTCCAAGTCCAAAAACCACCATTACCTTCCACCACAATCATCTCCGTCTTTCACCACCACCACCACTATCACTGCCTTCCACCACCACTATCTTCCACCACCACCGATACCGCCACCGCCACCGCCACCGCCGCCTTCCACCACCGATACCGCCACCGCCACCGCCATCGCCTTTCACCGCTGCCACCACCTTTCACCACCACCGCCATCGCCTTTCACCACTGTCACCACCACCACCGCTATCGCCTTTCACTACCACCACCACGTTCCACCACCGTTACCGCCACAGCCTTACACCACCACCGTCGCCTTCCACCACCGCCATTGCCGCCTTTCACCACTATTACCACCGCCACCGCCTTCCACAACCACCAACGCCGTCGCCATCGCTTTCTACCACCGCCATCGCCTTCTACCACCTTCTATCACCACCGCCACCGTCACCGCCATCACCTTTCACCACCGCCGCCGCCGCCTCCTTCTACCACCACCACTATCGTTAATTTAATTTAGTTTATTTGTTATTAATAGGGATATTTTGAAGAATTCAATTAAAAATTTATTTCATTCTAAATTTTAAATTGGTCTAACCAAACACTAGAATGGTTATTATCATTTCATTCCTACAAATTTCATATTTACAACCAAACAATAGAATGAGAATGATCATTTCATTCCCTTCCCATTCTCATTTCATTCTCACTTGCATTCCATTCCATTCATGCACACCAAACGTAGCACGAGAACTCTGTCATAATGAGCACTCCAATTTAACCAATGAATTTTAAAATGTATTAAATAATTTATTTAAATTTTTAAAAAAATTATCTTAATTAATGATTAAATATGAAGAGTTTATAACTGTTAAAAGAATTATACAAGAGAGAGTGAGAACTAAAAATTATCTTAATTAATAATTAAATATGAAGAGTTTATAACTGTGAAAAGAATTATACAAGAGAGAGAGAGAGAGAGAACTACGTTACTGGAATCAAAAAGATACGGGCGAGTTGGATGCAACTGACCAAGGCTATATGGTCCGAAATCATATACTAATTATTTCTCCCAATGAAATTGGTCATACTCATATAAAAAATTTGTTTTAAAAGAATTAGAACGGTAAATGTTGTTGACTTTAAGATAGGTTGTATCCTGGACTCACTCAATATCAACTTCCAAGACTCACTTCTACCGAGCTATGTTCAATGACACCCCTAACCCTTTTTCTTTTTTTTTTTTTTTTTTTTTTTTTGTGACTTTTGACCAAATTTTATAAAATAATAATTTTTCTCTTTCTCTTGTATTAAATGCAAAATAATCTCTTATTATAATATAAGAGTATTATTGATTTTTCACTTTTCAGTTGCAACAAGTTGAATGATCTATCAATGTAATTTACCCTTTAAACAATCTAATGTAAGAAGGGAGAGCTCCTCAAGCACCATTAACATTTCTCAAGAATAAATTATCCGGAAATTTTTATTTTATTAGTTTGAGCTAATAATAATGATGAAAACTTTTTTTAAAAATTACCAGCACTACTTGTTAATTTTATGAATACTAATGCTCGGAATGTTTGTTGTAATTTTACGATATTGTCATTGTTGTTATTATATTCATTTTTTTTTTTCATTTATGGCTGACGTAATAAAACCCACCATTATAACCATCGTTGCAGGGCCACCCCCATCTGTCTTCCAATTCTTCTCTTGCATTTTAGAGTAATTATTCAAATAAAAATTTACGTGAGAAAGAAGAAAGGGGGGACACATTTGTCTTTTAGATGAACATATTGACATTTGAATTGTGCGGAGCTGCTGGCATCTCAATGAAAATTATAGACATCAAATTACAAATTAAGGGGATAGGTCAACGTTCAATCAAATTAAAATTATGACATAATTTTGCAATTAATGATTGTTTACATTATGACATAATTTGGAATTGAAATTAAAATTAGAAAAATAATTGAATTGTAATTAAAATAAGATTTTATTTGCACGTTTGGAAAATTTTGAATTTGAACAAATAAATAATATATATCATTTTCGGACATGAGAAATTAAAGATATAATGAGAGACATTTGGTTAGAGGGATGGATAAGGCATACTAAGGAATGAAACATGTTTTTTTATTTTTTGTTTAGTTGAATGGAATAGATATTAGAAATGTTAGATAGGATATTTATTTGGTTAGAAGGAAAAAAAAGATAGTATTTATAGTCGTTTTACTAATATACCCTAATTTTATGCTTTAACAAAAGTAAATATTTATTTTCAAAATTTAAGAACATTAAAAATAAAAATTACAAATTTGTAGGTTGTTATCAATTTTTTTCTCATTTCTTCCCCCTTTTATGAGCTAATAGAAAAAGATACAAAAGATGGAGGGATACTTTATCACTCTTGCTTCATCCCTGCCCTCCCTTTCCCTTCCCTGTAATTAAATACGAAAATAAGCTTCTCACTCTGATTTCATCCATCCCCTCGACCATTCCCTCCAACTAAACATACTATAATAGTTTGTAAAGGGGCAATTTTGGTAAACTTAGTAATTGTTTTTTGTTTTTCTTGACAACAAGGAAAAAGTCCTTTAGTCATTATTTTTAATAGTTAGTTATCAATTCCTTTCAAATCTATATATACTATTATAAAAGTCTAGGGTTTTTATTCTATATAAAAGAATTTTAAAAAGTTGACAAATGAGCTAATTAATAAGTTATTATTTGTTTAGTGCATTACTTAATATTTTTATTTCAGTTATTTAATTTGAAAAAGCACGCAAGTGACCATTTTAATTGGTTTCTTTAATTTTATTTGTAACTATTAATATATAAATGAGCTAATAAATAAATTATTGTCAATTTAGTGCACTATCGTTGTTGTTTTTTTTATTTTATTTTATTTTATTTTATTTTATCTTTTCAATGATTAAATTTGATAAAGGCACCCAAGTGACCTTTTCAATTGGTTATTTTAATTTTATTTGTAATGAGCTAATAAAAAAAAATTATTATCAATTTAATACACCATCAAATGTTTTCATCTTTATAAAGTTTCGTATGCATATAAATGTGATTGTTATTGCTAATGACACGGGACAAACATTTTATAACCAAAGTAACTTATATATATATATATATAGCTGTTTCCATTGTGGGCATTTTTTTTTTACTATTGATGTGGCAATCATTAAGCACTCGTTGCGATAATTTATCTTATTTATTATTGTTGTGTCATACTCATTTGACACTATCTTTTAAAGATCCAAAAAAAAATGAGGTAAGTGCAATAAACACTCTTAAAGTATACATTTCATAGCACATTTACCCCTATTTAAAAAAGTGTGTAAAAAACACTCTTATTCTTTTCAATTTGTGCGAAACACCCCTCAATTAATATAATGCCCATTTTACCCTTTTACTCTTCCAAAAATGCCCCTACCAAACTGATTTTGTTGATGTGAAGGTCAAAGGTGGAGGTTGCGGACGGTCAGAAGAGGTTGCCGGAGGGATATGTGTTCACAAGATTGATGGCATTTTGGAGCTTGTGGTCGGGGAAGAAGTAAAAAAACGAGGTTCATAGCAATCATAAGCCTGATGAAGTGGTTGAGTTGGACTGTCCAATAAGGTTTCATTTGGGGTTTCATTGGGCAAATATGCTCACTTTGGCAACTGTTTCACTGGGCAAATTACACCGCAGTTCTAGCTTTCAAATTTGTACTTGAATGTTTTTTCCCAATCTTGTAGTGATTGCTCAATTTATAAATTGGCCACTTCAATTTCTTAAACTTCCCTTGATTCGAGTAACCCAGTTGGCAAATCTTTTATATTTCAGCCTATATTCATAAACTATTTCAATCTAGGATTGTTGTGAACAGTACGGTTGGTGGCGATGGCAGTGAACAACAATTCCAGCGATGGGTTGTTGAGAGGACTGGTTCGGCCATGAGCTTGTTGTTGGGAAACATGCAAGTTTTTAAAACTTTCTGAGGGATTTTCATACATAAATCTTGATTCATCATATAAAGACAAGTTTTATACAAAAATAAAATATGATGTATCATTCAATTAATAGATTGAATACTTACATCAAATGTTTGAGAAAACCTTTAGATCTTTCATCTAAAGTGAATGTTCTCACTTATTGCAGATCCCTTTGCTAGATGCATTCTCCTTATATCTCCATCTTCTTGGTAATGGTTTTACCTTTATGAATCACCCATAAGACTTCATAAACAACCTTGGAAAACTAGGCTTGTGGGAACCTCCATTTGATAAGAACAGTAACCCTAAAATTCTAGAGAGAAAAAATATTATTTTTTCTTCCAAAAGTTTCCCCTAAAATATACATAGACCATGTATATATAGGCAACATAAAGATAAGAAAAAGGAAATAATAAATCATTCTCAATCTCTAATTCACATATCTTAAATGTAATATGATTCCAATATCAAGTTGGGTTATGAGTGAGAATCCTTTGGGTTTATTATTTTCTTGGCCACAATGAATTAATAATTGGCCCAATCCATGGACCCAATTCAATTAATTCATAAATTAATTTCTACTCCACTAAAAGAAATTAATTGAACTCCAATTAAATAATAAATAACCTCTAAGTTAATATTGCACTTTGACCCTTCTATGCATAATTAGTTATCTGATAAATAAAGTCATCAATCCGACTACTTAATTAATATATTTATGTTGGTACCTTTGATTATTTCCGACTTGTTCACAATAAAACATTTGTTTGACAAAAATAATAATTTAAATAAATATATAATAAATCATTTTGTCTAAAAACACACGAAGGCCTTCGAAATTACTTTGTAATCAACCATAATCAATACAAAATAAATATAAGTAGCAATGACGCAAATATTGAAAATATAACCCTCTAACTATTAAAATAAAATAAAATTTGTATTTTAAAACAAAATAAAAAAATATAGAAGTTTTTTTTTAATTTTTATTTATATATATATATATCATATACCAAAGTTATTATAGTCAAAAGATCTAAAGTTCAAATTGTAATACCCCTAATTTTCAAAAGGATAGTCTCGGTACTTTGTTTAATTGTTTTCTGTTCATTAATTGTTTTTGGTTCATTAATCGTTTTGAATTATGTTTTAATTGACTTTTTACTTATTTGATTTACTTGACTTATTTGTGTTATTTGAATTAATTAGTTGGTTTATTTGTTTTCTTTGGTTTAATTAATTATTTGAATTATTTACATTAATTGTGATAATTGTGATTATTTAAGTTAATTGTTTAGTTATGTGTTTAATTGTAATGGTGTTATATTTAATTCTTTAT